AATTAATTTTAAAAATGGATTTTAACGAATCGATTTTAAAAACGGTCATTATTACTCACATACATTTGTTTTGGACTTGGCCCTAAGTTTTAAATCGGGTGGGGTTTGTATGGAGCCGAGGCACAAAACAATCAAAGTAAAGCTCACCTTCAAATAGTGTCGAGAAATGTGGTTTCAATATTGGAAATCTTTGTGATAGTCTTAAAATATACCTTCATATTTAATTATAAAATTTAAAGCTTCAAAAATAGTATAGATCGAGCAGATCTATGAAAACTTCAAAAATCTTGAAAATTAACTGTCCAAAAATATGTTACAAGATGCACTATTTTCAAAACTTGAAATCTATTTATCATGTCCATGATTTCGAGATGATCAATTTGAGGATATTTAAGCATCAAAACAACCTCTTCTAGTGAAAATTTCGAGGTGGGCTCTAATTTGATTGTTTAGAGCCTGAGCTCTATATAAACTTTTTCCTTTTTAATTAATTGTCGTGGTATTAGCATGATGAAATTTCGTGGTAGGGTCCGTAAAGTGGTTCTTGTTGAGCTCAATGATTGTAGCAAGTCTATTTCTTGAGCAGCTAGATCCAATCTTCAAGAACTCAAAATCGGTGTTCGACTACTTGGGCGAGCCAACTCAAACTCAAACTCACCCGAGCAACTTAGCCTTGTCACCTGGTGAGCCCGAGTATCCTGAGTTTGGTAGTAAAGCTCAAGATCTTAAATAAAAATTCCAAAAGCAATTATAAAAGATCAAAATAATAAGAAATTTATTTGCAACATGTTTTTTATGTTTTCCATCATTTTGGCAATTGAGAAGTGTTTTGGCCATGAATACTTATTTTTATATTTTCCATTCTTTTTAGATTATTTTTAAAATATCTCTAGCCTGAAAATGATTTTTTCAAAATCTATTTTCATTACTTTTTAACCTCATTTAGATATATTTTGTTTAATTTTATTTTAAACATATTTTTCATATTGTTTTAGATTTTTTGTATATTTTGTTTTTCTTTTTTTTGGACACTTTTGGGCCTGCCTAGGACCTACCCAACTCCGGCCAAGTTGCTCTAACTTGGCCCAAGGTACTCAGCCCTGCCCAAGGTACTCAGCCCGGCCCAAGGTACTCAGCCCAGCCCAAAGCCAGGTTCTTGGGCCGAGTGGTGATGTCCCTGATCAAAATAAAAGTTTCTTGTTCTTTAAACATTCATCTAGTGATGAGATAATCTACAAAATTTGGGTCGGACGAATCTCCCGACAGCCAGTCTCCAAGACCATTTCGGAACCACCTGAAGTGTACAACTCATAATTCACAACATTCTCCGTGTCCTAAAAAAAGCCATTTTCACGATTTTATATTTTATATTATTCCTCCCTTTTGGACAAACAATGTGTGTGCCATATAAACCAACAAAATATATCGATTTTGAGCTTTTAGATACTAGTATCTGATCGTCCAAAGATAGGAGGTATTAGTTCAACTGTGTTAATTTTCAGCCACATATAAAGTACACTAATTTTTCTGTTTTATTTTATTTTGAGGTTGGTTGATAGGTTCAAGATGTTGCATTCCCTAAAAGTGGGGCCTAAACTTGCTCCAAACTTCAATTGATAATAGATTCCTCAATTTTGTGAAAGTATTATTGATGTGTCATGAAAATAGGTGCCCATTTAGGGATGGTCTATAACAGTTTCTGCCCCTTCCCCATTTTGAGGGCGCTAGAAGAATTTTTTCTACCTCAATTTGGCGCATGTATTCTCTTGGATCCTACTGAGAAGCTCAGAAAAAATTCAAAAAAAATAAAATAAAATGAAAAGGAAGTTTTTTCAAGGATGATAATGCACGGAATACCAGCCGTCCATTTTATGAAGATAGTGTTATATGGACATCCTCGAAGGATTTCTTGGAATAGTTTTTCTTTTGACAAAAAATTATTCCGATTTCTTAAAGGTTGGATCTAGGCTCTAGCCACCCCTGAAAATGTATGGTTTAGGCAGAAACCATTTTTTGATTTTTTTTTTAATATTTTACATGGGCTCATTCTTCAAGTCCAAGAAAATTTATGCCAAATTTTGGGAAAAAGCTTTATCCTAGAGCCCCTAAAATAGGAGAGGGCCGAGCGGTGTGGCTATCCACCCATGGGTGGACTAAATGTTTTTTTTGGAAACAAATTTCACCATTCTGGGGCTTTGGAAGCATTTGTTTTGCTCCAACAAGGCATATAGGTTCTCTTGATTCCGCAGAAAAAGATAATGAAAAAACATTTAATAAAATAAGAAATAATTTTTTTTTAAAAAAGATCTCTCTTTTATTACAATTTCAAATAAACCCTCGGGTCTATAAAAGACCTGTACACGTCTTCAAATAAAAGAAAATAATGTTCAGCTTCAATCTCGCATCACATTTTTCATTGTCCACTTTACAATACTTATTATTTGTTATTTTTTTATGACCCCATTGTGAGGTTCACGAGATGATAAAAGAGAAAGAGATTGAGCGTCTGTAAGGTTTAGAGAACATGGTTATTATAAAAAATAAAAAGGGCAAACATTATAATTTAAGCAATGAAAAAGGTGCAGATGGGAATAATCGTCGTTTTCTTTTGACTTGGAGGGGTGCATGGTTTTTCTATAGATATGAGATATTATTAGGGATCAGACTTATAGAGACTGGGGAAAAGGCCTAGTTTCTTATTTTGTTTTGAGGGGAGAGAAATTGCAGTGAGTGTGTGGCCTTCATTTTCTTTGGGGTAAAAACAGTATTGGATCGAGACTTGGAGAGAATTTTGTCTAGCCTCAAATTTTGTAGATTGCCACTTATTTTTCAAGAAAAATGGTTTTAAGGTCTTAATAAACTAGATCGAACCAGTCATGGATATACGCCCTGCAGTTATTTCAGTCCAAAGATGATTTATTTTTTAAAAAAGTAAAATTCGCCAACTCTCTTATCAGTCAAAAGAACAGATGTGCCAACTTTGAGTCGGAACAAATGCTCCGAAGCCCCCGAATTTGAGAGAGCCCACCAACCGGGCATACGCCTGGGAGTGGGTGAAATGTTTTTGTGTAAGGTTTGAAAGAGTGCTCATCTAAATTGGATCCGGCTGAAATAGATCAAATTATCGGCGGCCAACGAGTACCCAGTAAATATCGGGCATCGACTTGTTTGACCCATGAGAGCGCCAATTCTGTCCGGTTGACCCGTCAGAATTAGCCCACTTTTTATTTTTTAATTTTTTAAATTTTTAATTTTTTAATGATTGATTTGTACACCGGATCATTGATCCGCTGAACTGCATTGAAAATCTAGATGTACGATCTGGGTCACCGATTTGTTTCCTACAACCTTTGGTTTTGCCCGAACAAGATGACAAAGAAAAAGACTTGGACCTCAAAAGGAAAAACCATAACGATTTGCTAAACCGCACTGGAAATCTAGATGATGTGTGATTTGGGTCACAGATTCGTTTCCTAATGCCTTGGTTTTGCCTAAACATGATGACAAAGAAAAAGACTTAGGCGCGGTTTGGGTACTTGGAAATCTATTGTCAAAAATATGAGATTTCCACAGTTTGGGTACACGTAATAGTAAGGCAATGAAAAGAGATTGGGCGAGATTTCTCAAAAATAATCAGAAAATTCATTACGCACATAGGTGAAAAATCTATTACGAGAGCACTCTCGTAATTTTGGGAAATCTTTCGGCTCCGTTTTTACCTACTCTATCTTTGATTAAAAAAATCTTCTAAACCCTCTCTCTTTATAATAACTAGGTGATCCCTTCTTTTTAAACTTGTCGGCATCAGCGGTCATAAAAAAAATAAAAATAAAAATTAGTAATCAATCATAAATTATAAAACATAATCATAATAAAAAATTTCACTTAACATAATGTGATCTCTCCCTTTTTAAGCTTGTCCCCTCATCTGAAGGGATCAGTGTCATATAAAAACAAAAATAATAAAAATAAAAATCAGTAATTAATGACAAATTACACAATACAATCGTAATAAAAAGTTTCACATAACATAATCCTTAGAAGAGATTGCTAAAATCTCAATTCAAATAACATACTTCTTTAATCTCCTCTAATACCTCAAAATTTTATACTGCAATTACCAAACCTCTAGTTTACTGATCAAACTTCTTCCCATTTTTTAACTCGTACCCTATAGATTTTGAGTTTAGTATCATAAATTTATTGTTTATTTGAAATTATATGGAGAGACATTAGAAAGACTTCTATAATAAATAAATAAAAATAAGACTTATCATAATAAAATCATGTTATTCCAATCATATTGTTCCAATGACTTATCATGTTGAAACCAATGTCCTGTTAGAAAGCATATAATTACATATAAGTGCCAAAGGTACTTAAAATAAGTAGGAGATAGTATCATGACTGTAAAATAGTACAAGTTATTATTAGAAATGTTTTTTGAAATGGTGACAGTATTATTATTAGAAATCTTTTTAGAATGGTATGATGATGATTTTAATTTAGTATTTTAGTGGAATTTTGTGACAAAAAAGAAGAAAATGATAATTCTTCATTTTAGTAGAATTTTATGATAAAAAGAAAAGAAATGATAGTTTATAGGCACGTGTTGGTAAAATATTGGTAATACATTTTTTATATTTCTTCCAGACATAATCAAACAATAACAATGTATTTCTCAAATTGCATCTAAATACTACTCAAACAGTAACAATTTATTTGAAGGTAATATATTATACAGTAATGTATTACACCAATAATATATTTCACAGATAATATATTTTCAGATATCTAAATGGCCCCTTAAAGTCACTATTGGAAATACTGCGATTCCAGTTTTGGGTGGTGGATTGGTATTTAAAAAAAATTTAAAAAGGATTAATATATATATATATCCCCCATATCAAGTATACTCATGGAGAGATGACGAGTCAGAAAGGATGGCTGCCTTCAATAGGAAGGTGAGTGTTAAGATGCTGGCAACCCAATACATCCTCCTTAATTTTAACGTTCATCCCTTATCCCAATCCGGATAAATGTGGCAGCAGTGATTTCGCCCTTTTAACCCCAACCCCAATACCCACCCCCTCCTGTTTTCTATACATAAACCCCCTCCTTCCAAAACCACCCTCACTTGTTCCTTTTCCGACCGTTCCCACTTCTCCGCTTCTTTTCTTCTTCATTTCTTGGACTCCTCTTCTCCTTCTTCTTGCTTCTTATTTCTGGTTACTTTATCTAGGAGAGATTTGTTTTCCTCGTGTTTCTACAGAGAAGGTTGCTTTTTTTCATTTACAGAGAAAGAAAGCCTATTCGTTTTCTTAGTTTCTTGGAGAAGCACAACAGGACTCCTGTTTTTGGGAGAAAAGAGAGATTCACAAACAAAACAATGGCCGGGGGTGGTTTTGTTACCACCGGTGAGGTGAAAAACTATTCAGGAAGGATGACCATGTTCGTCCTCTTCACCTGTTTCGTTGCGGCCACAGGTGGTCTCATTTTAGGCTATGATATTGGAATTTCAGGTACTGATCCCATGATCTCAACTCATTTTCCTTTCATTTCTACAACTATAATTCTCTCTCTCAAGTACTGATCCCATGATCTCAACTCATTTTCCTTTGATTTCTACACCTATCATTCTCTCTCTCTATTTTGTCTAGTTTTCTCCCTGTAAATCCCTTTTTCTCTCTCTTTTAACTCCTTCATGGCTTCTCTAACTTGTATTTTCCCTAGTTATCTTAATTTTTTTTCCCCCTTGCTGTATTTGCAGGTGGAGTTACTTCCATGGATCCTTTTCTGAAAAAGTTTTTCCCTTCTGTTTATGATAAGATGCAGAGAGATAAGGAATCTCGAAATCAGTACTGTAAATTTGACAGTCAGTTACTGACTACCTTCACGTCTTCTCTGTATATTGCTGGTTTGATCGCCTCTTTCTTTGCATCGTGGGTCACTCGCAGGTTTGGTCGGAAGCCTTCAATGTTCTTCGGTGGTGTTACGTTTCTGGCTGGAGCCGCCATTAATGGTGCGGCTAAAGATGTAGCCATGCTTATCATAGGCCGCATCCTTCTTGGTATTGGAGTCGGATTTGCAAGTCAGGTCGCCTTTTTCTCTGTAAATTTGCATTCACTTGACTTTCATCGATGTTTTGAAATATTTCTTTCTAGTTTCGCAACTCCGGTATGTCTTTTTGCTCAGTAGAAAGTACTTGATGGAAAAAAAAATGTTGTAATTTTCCCGTCATTCATTGTAGTCAAACCTGTGCGCCTCTCACATTTTAATTTCTTTCATCTTTATTTTTTAGAAATTTATTAAATTGAAGGACTAAGTATTTAATATTTGGCCTATTTTAAATAAAACGTGTAAAATTGTTCATATGAATAATTTGACATATTTCCCTTATTTCTTTACCAAACAGGGCATCACTAAATGATACGGTTTATGCAAGGCTTAAAACCTTTATAAAGAAGATAAATGGCCAGTCTCAAGATATTGAAGATTTATTTTCACAATTAAAGTTACGAAATGATGCAAATCAATACGCTTTCACATGTTGAATGGACATCCAATAATTTGTTAATAGAACCCATTATATTTTAGGTCTTGAAAACGTCTTTTTTTTTTAACTTTTAAGAATCTGTTTTTTATCCATAGATGTTGAGACAAGACAACGGGGTTGTATTTTGAAGTGAAGCCCTTTTCAGATTTTTATGAAGTAATTCAAATTTTTTGGGATTGTATATAATGAGACTATTTATTTTTGACACGATCAGTTGCAATTATTTATATTCATCCGATGTAAAATTCAATAGCTTGGGTGTATTGCAAGTTTAAAAAAAATTTAACTTTGACCTTGGTCAATGGAATGGAACCACTAAATTTGACACTAATGGTCATAATTAATCAAGATTAATTGTAACTACCTCGTAACAAAAGTAATGGTCTCATTGAATACTTTTTCAAAACATTTTCGTGGCCTAATTTTGCAACCAACTCAAACCCTAATCACCACGTCGTAAAGAGGAGACCCTATTTTTCTATTCCTAAAAGCCCCTGTTTTGAATTTGAATTTCTTCTCTTACCTCTGCCCTGTGTTTTCCTGATTCTAAATTTCTAAAACGGATTAGATATCAGACAAATGATTTTAATTTTTGTTTTGCTTTCTTTTGTGCATTTCTCTATGGACTCCTTATCTGGATTGAATTGAATTTTCATTTCAACTCTGTTCCATGGAAAATTTTACAGTCGGCTCCTCTATACCTCTCAGAGATGGCGCCCGCGAAGCTTCGGGGTGCCTTAAACATTGGATTCCAGCTCTTCATCACAATCGGTATCCTGGCTGCCAACCTTGTGAACTATGGCACTGCCAATATCAAGGGTGGGTGGGGCTGGCGTGTTTCTCTTGCGCTGGCTGCTGTCCCGGCTGCCATCATAACCATTGGAACCTTATTCCTTCCAGACACGCCCAACTCCCTCATCGAGCGTGACCACCCTGACCAGGCCCACGCCATGCTCAAGCGCATTCGTGGCTCTGATGACGTTGAAGAGGAGTTTCAGGACCTCGTTGACGCTAGCGAGGCCTCAAAGAAAGTGGAGAACCCGTGGCGTAACATTGTTAGGAGGAAGTACAGGCCGCAGCTTGTGATGGCACTTGCAATTCCATTCTTCCAGCAGTTGACTGGGATTAATGTGATCATGTTTTATGCACCTGTGCTTTTTAAGACAATTGGGTTCGGTAGCAATGCATCACTGATGTCTGCAGTGATTACCGGTGTCGTTAATGTGATCGCCACATTCGTGTCCATCTTTACAGTGGATACGTATGGGAGGAGAATCTTGTTCCTGGAGGGTGGGATTCAGATGTTCATTTCCCAGGTATGATTTCTTTGTTTTTTACCAATGTTTTATTCATTCCATCTCTTTTTTTTTTTTCATTTCCTCTCTCACTATTGCCTGATAGCAATTATTCTCACTTTTGTGTATTTTTAACGAATTTGAGGGTCTCTTTTCAACCTTTTGATAACTGTAAAAAAATATTTATTCGTTGTCAGATCATTAGGTAACGAATTTGGGGGTCTCTTTCCGACCTTTTGATAACTGTAAAAAAAAAAATATTCGTACTCAGGTCATCACGCGCTGCTTTCTGCAATTTCTTGTATTTAACGTTTTTTTTTTTTTTCCATCTCTAGACGTTATATAGGTCACTGTTTGCAAAAATAGGTGAGTCGACTCAGATCTGCCCAGGTGCCTGGACCTGGGGTAGATTTGGTTAAGCCTGGTTTTGTTGGTCAAAATTGGGATCTTTAAAAAATTCAAAAGAATTATTAAAAAATCCAAAATATTAAAACATTATGTGTAATGTGTTTTTTTAAGTTTTCTACCAATTTTACAATGATTGGAAGATGTTTAGGCCATAAATGCTCATTTTTTATATTTTTATCTTATTTTATATTTAGTTTTACTTTAAAGATATTTTTTCATAGACTTTTTTTTATATTTCTTCTAAACACTTTTTAGCCTAACTTGTACCTACCCAACCCAGTCCACGTTACTTGGACCCAGTCCGGGTAACTCCACCCGGCCTATGCCCGAGTCGTGGCTTCCTACACTTCTCCGGGTAGACGAGATTTTTATTTCTCAAACCATGCGGTGATGTAGCATTCATTTTCTGGAACGGTGGGACTTTTGAAAGGAGCTTTCCTTGCCAGAATGCTTGGGATCTTTTTGGACATTAAATGTTTACAGTGATTGCGTCGTTTTCGTTTTGGAAATCATTTTGGTCGCTGATTTTTATGGCGAGAGACGATAATACCTTGGGTGGCCTTCTCTTTCTCATGAACTGGTATCGCTATGTCCTTTTCATTTCCCTTTCTTCACTAAATAGACAAACCACGGTTTCTTATTCATATTCCTTTGTTTGTGAATCCATTTATTTTGTAGCAGGAAACATGTTCCTTTGCTTCTTTCTATTAGGTAACTTCTTGTATTTATTTTGGTATTTCAATTGGCCGAGCCCATTGAGAGCTCATTTCTAAATTTTTTGGTAGTTCCGTGGAGATAGGTCCCCTTTTTTTATGGATAAGTAGATGGGTATTTTACTCGTGATTGAAATTATAAAGTTTTTTATTCATGATAGAAATGAAACTCAAGATGTTATTTATAGTGACCGACCTAATCATCAAGCTTTGAGCCTGTTTCTAAATTCTTATATTTTTATCATCCCAAGATAAGTGCAATGTATTCCTATTTCTTGGTCAAATAATTCAATCCAAAGGAGGCTTATTCTTTTTTAGGAATTTAATTTTTAGGAGCTAAATTTCCACATTTAAAGAGACGTCCACTAACTCATATCTAAATCAGGAGAGGTAAATCCCTATTTCCAAGTTGATGGTCGTTCTCATTCAGATGGAGGATTATATGCATGCTGGCCTTTATGGGGAAAGCGATTCCATATGTGGACCCCACCTATTCATAGTCTTTTGCCTTGATATTTATAAAAGAGGGATTATAGATTAAACTAGTGCTTAATTTTAGGGATCGGTTTGAATTGTCATCCTTTGGTTGGCTGATTCTTGATTTTAATTTCAAACCATTCACATCTTTTTGAGATAATGACCATAATATATTTTAGAACTTTGTGATTGCATAGTATCCCAACTGACCTTAATTTTATCAGAATGAGTCAAAAATGCTTATTTTTAAATTGTTCTAGTGACGTAATCGATTGATCAATCCTTGTATGATACTTTCGGTCAAAAGACCCAATCATGTCTATTTCATTATGATGAAGTGAGTACGTTCCCATTTATTTTCTCTAATGTTTACCCAATTTAAGCTTCCAATATATGGCCTTTATATGGGAATTAACTCCTAATACAATTTTCTTCAACTTTGGTATTGTTTTTGGATTGGGCAAAACTTACACATGGAATTAACTCCTATCACAATTTCCTTGAGATTAGGTGTTGTTTTAGGATCGGGCAAAACATACACATTCCCTTCTTCGTTTATTTACATCTTATTTCACCGTGCCAAAGCCTTGACCACGTCTTTCCCAAATTCAGTCCGGAATGAAAAACTTTCATAAGATTCTTGATATTCACTTTATTTCTTCTTCTTCGTCTTTGGTGTTACCGAGTGGATTATAAGAAGGAAAATGGTTTCATGCAGCGGGGATTGAATTTCTACATGTGCGGTTCGAAGTATAAAGTATCCATCCTAAAGATGGATGCAAATAGGTGGTCAATCTAAAAACGCGGTTTAAAGTATAAAGTATCCATCCTAAAGATGGATGCAAATAGGTGGTCAATCTAAAAACAATTGATACTAATTGTTAAAATTTTGAATCCTCTATATTTGGATTAATTATCAAGAATATATAAAGTCTCGTATATATATACAGCTAATCAGTTATCGATAATGGCGAACTAATCTAAGTCTTATCAAGAGAAATATCTACATCAAACACAAGATAACTTAAAATTAAAAACTATCATCAATTATCTCTATCTCCTCAACTATCTCTATCTCTACACTCCCTATCAAACTGAGGATGGGTGAACATCATCAGTTTGTCAACGAGATTGTTACGACGAGCACGAGTGATTGCCTTGGTAAAGATATCTGTAAGTTGTTGGGAGGTAACATGTGGGGGTGTAACTTCTCCAGTCAGACATTTTTCACGAATGAAATGACAATCAACTTCTATATGCTTTGTGCGGTCATGAAATACTGGATTTGACGCAATACATATGGCATTGATATTATCAGCATACAATGGTGTAGGAGTTAGATGAAGAATATTGAGGCCTTGTAAAAAGCCTCTCAACCAAGTAATTTCACTGCAAGCTGAGGACATTACTCGATATTCAGTTTCTGCAGAAGATTTAGACAGTTTGTTGTTTCTTACACTTCCAGGATATGAGAGAATCTTCAAGAAAAATACACCACCCAGTGGTTGAGCGTCTAGTATCGGAGCATCATGCTCAATCCGCATCAGCATAGGCTCGTCATTGGAGAGAAGAGTTAGAAGAGAAGAATAGACCTCTATGGTATGTACTCCGTAGATAATAAATGATACGATGGACAGCAGAGACGTGGATGCGACGAGGATCAACACCACATTGGTTAACGACCTGAACTGCATGAGAAATGTCTGGGTGAGTCATAGTGTGATAAAGTAGATTCCCAATTAGTTGTTTATAAAGAGTGGGATCCAGAAGTTTGTCTCTATCATCCTTTCTATATTTTACATTCACTTCTATTGGTGTATCCACTTGTTTATCATCAGATAAGTTGGCCAATTTGATCAAGTCTTTGGTGTATTTTTTCTGCTTAACATGTATCCATTAGGGGAATAATGAATCACCAGCTCAAGAAAATAAGTCAACGGACCCAAATCTTTCATTTTAAATGAGTGGCTGAGAATCTCTTTCAAGTATCTGATATTTTCAAGGTTGTCTCCTGTGATGAGAATATCATCAACATATAGGAGAAGAATTGTTATTCTTGAAGAACAATGATGAGTAAATAGTGAATAGTCATAGTATTTTGTTTCATCCCAGCATTCAGAACAACCTGCCGAAATCGTTCAAACCAAGCTCTTGGAGCTTGTTTTAAACCATACAATGATTTTTTCAAATGGCATATTATAGATTCATCATTGCAATAACCAGGAGGATGTCGCAAGACCCTAATACCATGGCTCTGATACCATGTTAAAATTCTAAATCCTTTATATTTGGATTAATTATCAAGAATATACAAAGTCTTATATATATATATATATATATATATATATATATATATA